TTTAAAATCATTTTCATAGCAAATAGATGAATTAATTTTATTAATTAATTTGGTTACGTCCTGTATTTCTGATGGAGAACAGTGTGGCTGGCAGATCAAAAGACTAAATATTTTGTTGTATTTTCTGTTTTGTTTTCTCAGTTGAAAGGACAGGAGTTGTTGATTTAATCTGTTTCATGTGAGCTAATTAGCATAAAGGAGAATGTTTGCTCTTATTCCAATAATTTTTGTTTGTAAACATAAGTAAAGGGGGAATTATGATGAAGGATGAATTGTTCTGGAACTTTGCCTTTATTAAAATTTGTTTCTCTAGAGTACTCAACCTTACACTGGTGTGAAATTTTGTTGGGTCGCATTTTAGAACTACTGCTTTGGTGATTGTGTCCTAGGAGATATTGAATTATGGGTTAGAAAATCCGTGTTCTTTTTGTCTTGGTCCCCCACTTCAAAGATACTTGGAAGTCAGTGAATGGTAAAAAGAAACGTGGTAAAATGGTGACTCCTCCTACACACTTGTTTTACATGTGTCACCCTCCAGGGGATTCTTTTGTAATCATGAATGTCAAACAGGAGCTATAACAGCAAGTGTGCTGTGCTTGTCTTCCAAGCTTCTGTTGTGTTGCATTTTGTCTTGTTTTCATTTTCTTTTAATTCATTTTAATATTTTGCTGATTTTAATTTCTGCATTAGGTATAAATAAGTAGAATTTTAAATAAACTTCTAACGTGAGACGAATGGAAATACATCTGCAACTTCAGCAACACATTCTAATTAATGTTGTTGGGCTATTGAAAATGTTACAAGAGTACTGTTGTAATAGTACAGTAACACCTTTTAATACCTGAGCCTGCAACACCTCATTTCATCAAATCTTTATACGACGGAATTTCCATGCAGTGTCATTTGAACAATGGCATCATCACAATATTTTTTAGTGTATGGCACGTGTTAGCCAGGGATCACCGAGGTGGCTGGCTGCCTCTGTGAAAGGAATTTTTTTGGGCGGTGTTACCTTTACCTGCGGGATGCCTCAATGCTGGTGGGCAATCAGAAGGCGCCTTTCTTTCTTGTCCCTACGCAGTTTATTCGCTCATGGGAATCGAGCCGCCGACCTCAGCAGTGCACAGACCCCGCCCACAACACACATATATTTCAAACTGACAGAAATTGTGTAATTGACTTCATTTGCCTAGTGATTTCATCACACAACTAATGTAAATTCCCACAAGGCCTTACTCTTCAATACAGTAGATAATTCTGAATAATGGAGCCTCCTCTGCAGTTACTTTCATTTACTATGTTTTATAATTCTCTCTGAAAATAAATTGTATCAAAATTTATATTTTTCAGTTTAAATAGACAAGGATTGGAGCGGTCAAAGACTGGACCACCTGTTATGCAGAACAGGCAAGGTTACTGCAACTGTTGCCATGCACCCTACAGCAATCTGGAACAGGTATTCAAATAGAAATTTAACTCTGGCATAGGGAAACCAGAGGTGGGTTGTTCCCGGTTTTGGCCAAACCAGTAGTAGAATTCAGGCCAGGGTCGCAGAACCGGCAGCGACCCAGGCCTGCCATGCCCCTGAACCGGTTCCCTCACTGCCGCCATTTTGGTTTTTAGTGACTGCGTGTGCCTAGTTCACTGTAAATTATTCTGCACATGCGCAAAGAACAATTTACATTGAACAACGCATGTGCGCGGAGTGCACATCTGGCACCTGTGCGGGTTGCGAACTGGTAGTAAAACCGGCCGCAATCCATCCCTGATGGAAACCTCATTCAGGGTTTAACAGTTCCTTTTTTAGGGCTTTCCCTATAGAAACAAACTGCTTATGGAAATCTCCCTTGTAGCCTCCAAGCTCTCTTTCTCCTGCCCCATCCTTGAATTTTTTTTTTTTTAAAGCATGCTGCAAACCACAATCTCATACCATCCTTATTTTCTAATTCTTCTGCGCTCCCAAGAAGGAAATGACTTCTGGAGAGAAAAATGGCTGCAGATCAGTGTTTTCTTCTGAGCTATTTCCATTAAGCCCTTCCAAAGATTCACTGAAGTATTAAATGTCATATGGTGGAGCTAGAAAATAATGGAAAATTAAACAGATTAAATGTTTTGTCTTGTGATTGTTTACTTCTACATGATAGAAGTAAAGGGACACAAGCACTTTAATCACAGTAATTTTGTGAGAGCATCCACAGTATGCTTTCAAAATTCTCAGAGATACCAAAAAAAATGTCTTGGTCTTTTACAGTAGATCTAAAAAAATCAGAGCAAGGTTCCTTCCAAACTTGCAGTTACATTTGTATTTTTAACTTATAGGGGTTGAAGTTATTGGCTTGACAAAAGCATAATTAGTCAAATAAAAAAATCCAAGTATGTTCATTAGCTATGATAGAGGAATGTCCCTCACTTAATACAAGTCTTAATTTTCTTTTCTTTTTTTGTATCACTTCTATTATGATAGTCAAAAATGAACTTACCCTCTTGCAACTCCTTTCATCAGTAGAAGATGCTTTCTTTCTTGCAAGACTATATTTGACGGGACAATGGTGATTTGGTGCACGAGTTAGCATGTTATGACACATCTATCAGCATTCCTTGAATCAAACCCATGTTTTTCTAAGAGTGTCAAGTGAGTTCTAAAGTAAGCAGTTGCCCATCAATGTGTGTGGATATTCTGGCCCAGTTCACATTTTGCCTTTTAAATATGGATCTTTGCATGCTCCTTTCTTTGAAGAAGTGACATGTGGTTAGTGGGATCCATAAGCAAGGGGGGCTTGGGATTCTCTGCCAATTACCTCCCAAAGACCCATTAGATCACACAGATTAGGCCTCCTCCGGGTTCCGTCTA